TTTCATCCATCGTCACAAAACGTCGAAAAAAGTTCGCTCGATTATGCAATAACGCCAAACCGATCGTTGAATCATCAAGCGCTGCTGTTTTTGGTCGATGGTCAGCAAACGCGGCACCCATCGTGCCGATAGCTTTTTCATTTCCAAAACATCATGCAAAATGTATCCCGCCCATTCTTTTGAGATGCCTACGGCTTCAGTTAACTCGCGCAACTTCACTTTACGATCACTCAAAACGATTCGATGCACTTGCTTTGCGATTTCCGCATTCGTAGCCTCTTTTGGCCTTCCAGAGCGAGGTGCGTCTTCAGTGCTTGTACGACCCATTTTAAATTCACTAAACCACCGATAAACTGTTGTTCTCGAAGGAGCAGATGTGGGATAACATTTCTGCAACCATTTCAATGATTGTTCAGAAGTTTTTCCCATCAAAAAACAATGTTTGATCAAGATGCGATATTCCTGTTTTTCCATTTTTTTTACGAAGGCGAAAATAAGGCCACTTAAACGACTGTAGCTTGTAAACGAATGAACGAAATGTCATGAAACTTCATACATAAACTAGTGACAAATGAATTTCTCGAAATGAATCATGTTCATTTTCTAGTGGCACCACCTATTGAAAAATCCCGGGACTTTTCAGCCCATGTAGTACATAATATATTAATAACTTAAAAAAAGTGAAACATTAACATTTTAATTACATAACAGTTACCTTTGTCGATCTTCTCGATTTCCAAGAACTTGTTTATTTAAATTATCATGATGGGAACTTGTATTTTCATCGGTTATAGATTGTTGTGTCATTCTGTTCACGTTATCATCTTCGTTATGATACCCTACACATCGATTTTTTTGCATGTGATGTATTAAGGCATCTGTTCCGAAAAATATGTTCTTTTCAACATTACAACATTTGCACCGTGCACTAAATTCTTTCTCATGAATTTCGAAATATTGCGATAGAGACTTATCCGCAATTTCTTTTAGTACACCAGCTCTTATTTTTTGATGATGATACTTTAACAGATGATGCCTTAATGATGGTGTATATGATACCAAAAGTGTATCCTTACAAAATTTACATTTTTCTTTGTATAAACCTACTTTGTCGAAATATCGCCATATTAAGTCATTGTCGTTTTCCCATTTTAACCGATCTTCTTCATCGTATTTTTCATGCTCATGGTATAAATGTCCTTTTATCATCATCATCAATCTACCTTTATTTCTATCAAAAGTCGTATAAGTTTTATCACAATTATCTATATTGCACTGTACAGAAGAATCGTTTACTTTAAGTAAATGTTTCCACACCCAATTATTTGTTTCTCGAGCTGACATTTCATCCACATAGTGTCCCAATGTGTCACTAAATATGAAATACCGATCAAGTCAAGGAAAATATTCAGAGACGTTGTTAGAAAAGGTTGATGATAGAAGAGAGAGTAAAACGTATAATTTTTCACTAATATGTAAAGATTATTGATCGAATTTTTCAATTTTTTAAGAATCATGTTGTTAATTCCTACTTATTCTGTTGTCAATCAATCAGATTAAGATTAATATTATATATTTGACACATTTTGATTTGAAAATAAAATTTAACATCGAAAATTGATACAAGCTTATATTTGAAAATGTTTCTTGATTTTTTACTGTAGGCTACACAACATCGCCATTATTATAATAAATGTTGATAAATAAATTGAATTAAGTATTATATTAAATTTTTAATGTGTATTAAAATGTACATAATATATTAATAACTCAAGAAAAGTGAAACATTAACAGTTACCTCTGTTGATTTTCTCGATTTTCAGGTTGACTATTTATATCATCATGATGGGAGCTTGTATTTGCATTTTCAGTGACTGTAGATTGTTGTGTCATTCTGTTCATATTATTATCTTCAGATTTTTTTCCAAATCTTAAACGTTGATTCTTTTTTAAACAAATGTGATGTGTTAAGGCATCTATTCCGTAAAATATGTCCATTTTATGATTGCAACGTTTGCATGATGCATTAAATTCTTTCTTATGAATTTCGAAATATTGCGATAGAGACTTATCCGCAATTTCTTTTCGTACACCAGCTCTTATTTTTTTACGATGGTATTGTCGCAGATGATCCCTTAACGATGGTGTATATGATATGGAAAGTGAATCATAACAAAATTTACATTTTTCTTTGTATAAACCTTCTTTGTCGAAATATCGCCATATTAAATCATTGTCATTTTCCCATTTTAATCGATCTTCTTCATCGTATTTTCCATGTTCATGGTATAAATGTCCTTTTATTATTACTATCATTCTACCTTTACTTCTATCCAAAGTCGTATTATAAGTTTTATTACAATTATCTATATTGCATTGTACAGTAAAATCGTCTAATTTAAGTAAATGTTTCCACACCCAATTGTTTGATCTTTCTCGAGCTGCCATTACATCCACACAGTGTCGCGATGTGTCACTAAATATGAAATACCGGTCAAACCAAGGAAAATGTTCAGAGACGTTGTTTAGAAAAAGTTGACAGGAAAAAGAGAATAAAAAAAGAGAATAAAACATATAATTTTTCACTAATATGTAAAGCTTATTGATTGAATCTTTCAGTTTTTTAAGAATTATATTGTTAATTCCTATTTATTCTGTTGCCAATCAGATTAAGATTAATATTATATATTTGACACATTTTCATTTGAAAATAAAATTTTACATCAAAAATTGATACAAGCTTATATTTGAAAATGTTTCTTGATTTTTTTACTGTAGGCTACTACAACATCGCCCTTATTATTATAATAAACGTTGAAGTAAATAGATTGAATTAAGTAATCTACTAAATTTTTAATGTGTATTAAAATGTATAATATATTAATAATTTTTAAAAAATGAAATATCAATAGTTACCTTTGTTGATTTTCTCGATTTCCAGGCTGACTATTTATATCATCATGATGGGAGCTTGTATTTGCATTTTCAGTAGCTGTAGACTGTTGTATCATTCTGTTCACATTATTATCTTCAGACCATAAACATTTATTCTTTTTTAAACAAACGTGATGTATTAAGGCATCTGTTCCGTAAAATATGTCCATTTTATCATTGCAACGTTTGCATCGTGCAATAAATTCGTCCATATCGATTACGTAATTTTGCGATAGAGACTTATCCGCAATTTCTTTTTCTACACCATCTCTTATTTCTTGACGATGACTTTGCAGATGCGTCTTTATAAGTGGTACATATGACTGACGAAACAAACCGCCACAAAGCTTACAATTTGCTACGTATAAGTTTGCTTTATCGAAATATCGCCATATCAAGTCATTGTCGTTTAACCATTTTAACCGATCTTGTTCATCGTATTTTCCATGTTCATGGTATAAATGTCCTTTCATCGTCATTATCACTCTATATTCACCTTTGTTAGTCATTGTATAAATTTTCTTACAATCATCTACATTGCATTGTATAATAGAATCATTTAATTTAAGAACATGTTTCCAAATCCAATTGTCTGATTTTTTTTGAAGTGCCATTATATCCACATAGAGTCGTGATATATTACTAAACAGAAAATAACGATTATGCCAAGAAAGATATTCGGAAAAACTATTTAGTTAATGAAAAGAGGGAGAGAAGAGAGAGAGAGAGAGAGAGAGAGAGAGAGAGAGAGAGAGAGAGAGCGAAACAATAATTATTCACTAAGGTGTAAATATTATTGTATTGATTGAATTTTTTAGTTTAAAAGTAATTAAGTTTCTTTTCTGCTCATTCGATTTGTGTTCTTGGACGTTTAAATTAAAATTAATATTATTTACTATCTTGAGTAGAAAATAAAATTTAGTCATGAAAAGTACAGTTTACGAAATTTTAAAGTATATTTCTTGACTTTTCCTATACAATTATTACAACGCCGATTGTTACCGTTATTATAATAAACATAGAAGTGAATAAATTAAATTTAATTTTTAGTAATAAATTAAAGATAAAACAAGAAAAGGGAGCAACTGCCGATGACATTGACATATGTTATCGTGATCTTGAATAGTCTCCAATAGGTTTTTGGCGGCATTTATACTTCGTTAAAAAGTCATTAACAAGTCAAAATCAATGGTTATTTCCCCATTTAATGATTCTAAACAGAGAAGGGCGGGGAGGGAGGAAGGAGGAATGAGACTATGGAGGAATGATGACTATGGACGCACGACTTTCCATGCGAGAATAATATTATAATGCAACAACAGAACAAGAATTGAAGACATGCTTGAGGCGTTACGTTTTATGTCTAGTGTAAAAGAAAGAATTGAATACAATATTTGTATCTTTGTATAGAAAATGGTAAATGGACAATGTCCGAGTTATTTAAGAAATAAAATAGAGTTAATAAAAGGGGAGGGAAGAGGGCAAACTAGACAAGAAGGAATTATACTTATAAGTAGATGTAAAATAAGAGAAGAACAGAAAATGTTGTTGTATGATGGGTTTAAAATGTACAATAATTTACTAAAAGAAATAAATAATTTACTACAAGAAAAGAAACTGCAAAGTTTTAAAAGGATGTTAGTGTCATATATTAGGAGTAGAGAGGGTTAATGAAATTCAAAAGTATTATTAGATAAGAATTTATGTAGTATAGAGAGAGAAAATTAAGTATTGTAAGTATTAAGTATTATTATTATACTTAATGTAGCTAATAAAATCAATCAATCCCTCTCCCTCTCCCTCTCCCTCTCCCTCTCCCTCTCCCTCTCCCTCTCCCTCTCCCTCTCCCTCTCCCTCTCCCTCTCCCTCTCCCTCTCCCTCTCCCTCTCCCTCTCCCTCTCCCTCTCCCTCTCCCTCTCCCTCTCTTCTTCTTTCCTTCTCCCATTCCCTCCTCTCTCTCTCTCTCTATTGCTTACCTTGCACAGATTCGTTGTTTTTATACTGTTTAACTTGACCGATAAATTTCGATCACGACTGTTGAAAAACAATGCTTAGGCACTTCACGTTCCCATGTGACAAATTAATTAACCCTTAACACACTGGGTCATTCGTATCCTGCGCATTTCATTTTTTTTTTTAAATACTAAGATCATCTAGTCAAATACTGGTCCTTTTTTTCTAAAAAAAGTTTGGCACCTAGAAAACAAATTTTGTATGTTATCGGCTTCGATTCGTATCCTGTCTGTTTTACAATGTATCTTTTTGTTCCCTGTTTCTTGTTTTTTTTTGCTTTTTATCCGATTTTTTGTTTTATATCACTCGAGAATAAAAATATCGAGTATAAAAATTAACGAACTTCGAAAGAAACAAGAAATATGTAGCAAGAAATACAATTGTCGATAAAATGATTGCAAAGGAGAAAAAAACAAAAGGTAAAAAACAAAAACAGAAAACAAAGAGTACATTGTAGAATAACCTTTAAGAGGATCCTAAAGCCACCTGTTTTACCGGTTAAATCATGTAATTTTAGTATAACAAATACTTTTTTCCTCTTTCACCGATTCGAAAATCCTTTTTCAGGATTAAAGCATACGCATTATACGTGTCTGGGAAGTGGAGTCTATGTCGAGAACGATCAAAAATTTCAAAATTGATATATTTTTTACTAAAGATATAGAAAATGGATTGCGCGATCTTATCTAAGGCCGATATTCATAGTCACGTCTTATATTCAAGATCGTCTTATTTAAGTACGGTCTTAAGAAGTCACGAACCAATCAGAGAGCCGCATTAGCATCTTAAGACATTACTTAAGACGGTCTTGAAATAAAAATCAACTATGAATATCGGCCTAAGTAGTATAGTCGACAAAAATGAGAGAGAGGGACTATGAAAGACGGCCAATCTCCCTCTCATTCTCTCTCTCTCTCTCATAAATTACATCTTTAAGTGGAAAGAGATAAAGATTGGCCGTCTTCCACGGTCCCTCTCTCTCGTTTTTGTCGATCATTCTACTTAGATAGGATCGCGTAGTCCATTCTCTATGTTTTTGTTTTTTTACTATTTCTTAGTGTAACATGGCGTCTTAGCTGTCAAGTCGTGACAACATTCGCTTGATATGAAAGCTTTGCAACCTGTACGTACGAAACAGTGATTCCCAGACACGTAGTTTACACGAATAAACAACGTCGAGTTCTTAGAATTAGACTTAGACGTTTTATCGCGACGAATTTGTTATACGAAAATTGACACGAATGTGCGACTGCGTGTATCATAGATTGCGTGAGATATTGATGTGGTAGTATATAAAGAAATGTCGATGCGCGCGACGCGCGGCGCGACCTCTGGTGACTTCATCGGAGTTCGAGCTTCGCTTTAGGATCCCCTTAAGGGGATGCTGGAGCCGTCTGTACTGATAAAACTATTCCAAATTCGATAGTAGTGACAGCTTTCATTCATTTGTTATACTTATTATTGAGTCATCTATCTAGTGACAAAGTACCGCGGATACTTTTTAGATGACTCAATATATATTGTTGTCTCGCTCAAACGCATTTATCTGTCCTTATCTAACTTATTGCAACGTCATCTCTTAGAAGATTAAACACCTACTGCTAGACACAGGGTATGGTCAACGCGATGTTGCAAACGCTTTGAAGCGTTTTTTAATTGGTCAGTTTGTAAAATTTTTTTCTTCCAATTAGTCCATCAAAGCATTTTGTCCGTTATCGCATAGCGAGACTTTGACCACAGCCTATGTCACACGTACGAAAAAATTTAAAAAAGTAAAATGATTCCTTTTTGAGAAACGTCATCGGCGTTGTCGTCGTCAGCGTCGTCAGTATCGTCGGCGTCGTCGGTCGGCATAGGCATCGACATTGGCGTCGTCGTCGTCGTTGTCGCGGGGCAAAGCGACACTTTTTTTTGCCATATCTTTTATGCAAAAACACGTCGAATAAGCCCAATTTCATCAAAATCGGTGAATAAGATACAATTCTAGACAATTATCACTGTAAATATTCCTTCACTGTGCGCAAAACCTAATATTGCATATATATTATGTTATAATATTGTGCGCAACATCACATCAATATTTTTTAAACAGACATTTTTACGTTGCTGCAATGTTTCTGTGCTGTACGAGAAGTAAAAAAGGACAAGCTTTATTTCATTCATTTATTTATGTATTATTCTCATAAAATCATCATAAAACCCGGCCAAGGTTCTAAATTCCGCGAGATATCGTTGCAGATTTGTCGCTTCATGCGATTGATGCGATCAGCGATAATAACAATCAATTTATCCTTTTTTTTTTATCGCGATGTTGGCCAACCAATCACGAGCATTGCATCACCCATTGGTTGACGGCTGATGATCGCTCGCCATATGTGATAAACTAGCCTTCGTAGCTTTCCTGTCCGAGTCGTCAAGTAGAAAAACGCTCCGATTTTCGTTCCGATTGTTAACGTAGCGCATTACGAATGCAATCGTGTGTGGAACGATACGCGCGTGCACTATGTGATTACGCGGTCGAGCAACGGTGTAGTACGCACGCACGACGACCTGGAGCCCTACGCTCCGCGGTTGTAAACATTACCGTGTAGCCCACACGCGCGCGCATCGTGTATCAGCGGGTCTTCCGTTATGAATGCTTAGTAAGTATCTCCTTCGTTCTTTTCTCAAACTCGTCCGAATCTCATCGTCGTCGTGGCTCGAGCCGTCGTCGGTCTCGCCGAAGAGGACACGGCCGACGACGACCACGCCGTTACCAGTCTAAGTTCATATCCACTATACTCAATCAATATGGTAGTTTGCATCTTTTCGTGTTATTAATAGATATCGCGCAAAATTGATTATTTAATTTCTCCGTAAGCCTTGTAAGTCTATCTCCCTATTGTCTTAAAAAATATTATGTTTCTTTCTCCTTGTATGACTGATAAATTATGAAGTTTGTAAATTTTCTTCTCCCTCCATCCTTTTGATCGGGAAAAGGAAACATATATTTGCATTATCAGTAGAACTAATGATTTAACATCAGTAAAAGAAAGCATCTGTAAGTAATATATATTATCTGACTTATTTTTTATTAACAGTGGGAATACTGTTTTTCTTGTTGAGATTTGCATGTAACTCTTATACTAATCACTATCACGTTTAACGAGAAACTTACAAAACTTCTTTATACCATGCATGCAGTAACAGAGGTGCATCTGGCATATCTGGGAATGCCTTTGATTGCTGGGTTCAAAAGTCTATGCATGACGACTCTGCCATCATAAAAATGCAATACCAGTTCTGGGTGAGAAAGCAGGCTTTGTCCCAGAAATTGGGGAAGAAGGAGGATGAGTGTATAGTTGCTTCAGATGCTGAACTGGATGCAAAGCTAGAATTGTTTCGCAGTATCCAAGATTCCTGTTCCTACTTACAAAGAGTTATTGATAGATACCAAGAAAGATTATGCAGTGCGTTCTAACACAATTTCTAATATAAAATAACTATATTAATTGTCATAGGATATATGTATTGTACTTTCTTCTTTTAAGATAAACTACTATTAAGAAATTGTAATAACAAGATAATTTAACCTTTAGATTTAGCCCAAGAGGAAAATGGAATGGGACGTTTTTTGAAAGATGCCGGAAAGCAAGATAAAACTCGCGCCGGCAAGATGATGTCAGCAGTCGGCAAATCTCTGTCTTACTCTGGTCAGCAGAGGCTTGCGTTGAGAGCTCCTTTGGGTCGATTGTATCAAGAAGTGGAAACATTTAGGCAAAGAGCTATTGAAGATACATTGCAAAATGTACAAGCGATGGAAAAGGCCCGTACGGAATACAGAGCTGCTCTATCATGGATGAAAAATATTTCTCCTGATTTAGATCCAGACACGTCCAAACAACTGGAAAAATATAAAAAAGTTCAAGCACGTGTTAAGCAGTAAGTTCTATATATTTTACATATTCATGTAATATAAAGTACAATCATAAATTCAAAATTTCTTTATTTAAATTATTATATTTAAATTAAACAATAACTTTTCTGTTCTCACATTTTTATAAATTGAATTTAATTACATATTCATAAAATATTATGAGAAATTTAAATACCATATGTACATATGTTACAATTTAGGGGCAAAATAGTTTTTGACAATCTAGCCCTAGACTGTCTTCAGAAAGTTGATTTACTGGCGGCGGCAAGATGTAACATGTTCAGTCATGCCTTAGTTTTATACCAAACTACACTTCTGAATTTCACAAAGAAATCTGCACAAGCATATTCCACAATAGCCAACAGCTTCAAAGGTTATCAACGTTACGACTTCACAGTTGTGCGAGAACTGGCTGAAACCTCCAGTAAATTGGCACAGGAAACTGGTGGTGATGACGATTTAGAAGACAAGGATAAGTGAGTTAAAAAATGAAAGAAAATACTATGTCATTTTCACCACGATATTGATCTTTACAGATTACCATTTTTCGACATGGATTATCACGATGATATTGAAGAGGCTCAAGAGGCAAATTCAGAAAGTACATCGGAGAAAAATAAAAAAGATGAAAAGCTCTTGGACATAGAAAATGACTCAAAGGATACACTGATACATTTGGATACGGGTACAAATTCTTCGAAAAACGGAATCGTGCATACTACCAACGATACAGACAAAAGTCTCGAAGAGTTCTTTGGAAATCTTATCCTGGAAAAAGATGCGTCCAATAGTACTGAACAATCGGTTAATAAAACCGAGAAAATTAACACTGTATTTAGTAAAAGCTCCGAAGAACAGAAATCAGTAATGGATATATTTGAAGAGTACAATACCGATTTTAATTTGACTGATTTGTCTCCCTTATCATCCGAGGCTCGACAACAGCAATCGTTGAATTTATTGGCCTCTGAAAGCGCAGCGCTTTTCGATGAAATCCTGAATGATAAGCAACAATGCACGAATAATGATTGGGAAGGCATATCACATGACACTTTTCTACCGCCAAGCATTTTGAAACAGAGTCTAGGAGATGCTGCATTAGGTATGGGACAGAAGAGTACCGCTAGTAACACGGATGACAAAGTAAGTACTCGCGAACTGCATTCAACAGTAATAATACGATTATATCGCACGATTAATATATATACAATATTCTTTTCATAGAAAAAGAATAAGACTGGAAAGCAGAAAGGTAATTCGTGGTTGGATTTATTCGCAGAATTGGATCCATTGGCTAACAATCCAATGGAGAATCTTTCCGGTGATAGTAATGCTTCTGCTTAATTCCATGCATTTTAATAGTATCGCCCTGTTACTTGATATTTGTAACAATAAGGAAAATTGATCAAACTCTATCAATTGTTATCAATGTGTGATACAGTGAACGTATAACTCACAGTATTTTCACTTCATACGTTTGTATCAGTAATCAGTTTTAAATTTAACATTCCAGATTTATTTTTAATGAAATCGTCATATAAGAATCAAAACCATTTGAATTACATAATTTTTCATATAAGCTACAGACAGATAATACCAAATATATAAAATGTAATATTTATTACACACTGTGCGCTAATTATATATATTCTTTCAAATATATATCATATATATATATATATATATATATAATTCTTTGTATTTCTGACGGATATATCTAAAGGAAGTATACCGTACAAGTATATTTGCTTTCTATTTATTTCAATTTTTTTTCACGATTTATTTATCCCTTTAATTTTTTGTATTGCATATCTGAACATTCCATATCTGAAGCCTCTGCTTGTAAATCAATATTATACTATTACTTTTTAAATAATATATATCAAACGTTTCCTTTGAAATAAGCAAATGAATCACATGCAATCCATATTATTTTCTTCTATTAAGTTAAATAAATACTACACAGAGACACAGATTACAGGCATAGGCTCAGAAAGATCAGTTTGTTTGCTCGTCTTGTTTGTAACTTTCGATTACATTGTCAACCGAAGTGATCACAGTGTTAACGCTAAACTCGTAATTTACTTCAAATATAAAAAAGATACTTGAAATCATAACCTAATCTTCAACGGCGATACGTTCCAACTTCAAGGTTCGTAAAATTGTGATAGGGCAGTCTTGACTCTGAAACGGAAATTACATATGAGACTTCTGTTATACAAAAAGATACAACAAACGACAATAATTTAGCATGTAATGCTCATCTTTACTTCTCAAATAGTTGAGTGTCTTTTGTGTGACGTAATTGTTGCAAGATACGATAAATTCCTAATTCCCGCAGACGCGCTTGCCGCTGCGCTGCGCCGGGTTCCTCTCTCCAGACTAGGTTGCATACACAAAAAATAGCAGCAACTTGCAGTTTCACGTTGCTATGCATCTAAATAAAATGTACACGTAAAACATCAACATACAATCGGTAATCTTATTCAAGAGATATAATTATTAAATTAATAGATAGGACTCGAGGAAATGCGAATACTTAATCGATTTAATACACGTTTGAAACTTGTATTCAAAGCTGTTATTTTTTATTATCGTAGATAAAATAAGTACAAGTAACACGACTTACTTTTTCAATATGTTTTCAATATCTTTAAAGCTTTTTTATTATCCTATCTATTAATAAAATTAATCGTTTAGAAATACTCAATTAATGAAATATTTGTTATAAATGTACACTGTACGAACCATATAATCCATGAGTTTCTTAAGCACGTCGTCATTAGCCATAATATGATCTCTTGCTCGATCGCCATCAGCTACATTTGCTAAAATGCAAAGTGCTTGCTCTTTAACGTCCGCCGGATGTTCTGGGTCTTCTAGTACTAGAATGACCGCTTGCATAACATGCGTGGCGTGTTCACCCATTATACGATCTATGTGAGCTTTAGTGGAAAGCAAATTTCGTAACAGACCCAGCGTTTTCATCAGGACACCTAACTCAGGATCGGCCAAGAGACGAAAGATCTGATCTGTGCCCAAGCACGAGAGTATTTGCGATTTTACACGTTGCTCCGCTTGAAAGGCCACGTTCATTAGGGCCCAAATGCCGTTCAGTCGGAGTGCCGATTCAGGCCGTTTAGTGAGAGAACACAATAACTCTACTCCGCCGGATTCAAGAATTGGCTCTTTGCTCGGACTAAACTCCAACAGTAAATTACATAAAGTACTCGAGGCAACAGTTAATAAATCACCTTCACCTTCGCCTCTACCTATAGTACAATAATGACAATGTTAATAGTACTCATATAGTTGGCGATTGAATACTAATAATAACAGCTAATTACAAGCACTGATCTCTTTATTCTTCTTTTTTTTTTGAAAAATAATCTTACAATGCAGAGAGAAAAGAATAGGGATGTATTTATCATTTCTATTTACACGCATGAGAAAACAGCCCTGTTTTAAATTCATGTTTATGTATAATTCATATTATATCTATTGTAAATATCTTTCTTACAACATACTAATATGGCCAACATAAGCGTAAAAGGTTGCGAACTTCTCTTGATGCGTGCATTTTAATTGAGCTACAAATCTATTCTTGTCTTATATAGAATAAAAAAAGAATAACTCACATTGTACATTAATAACCCTCTTTTCGATATTGCATCTTTTTCTTTTTGATTAAAACGTTAATTCGAAATTTCAAGCTAAATATATGTATTATTTTTTCGTATCTTACATGCAATATATATGCATGCAACATACACATTTCTCAGTGTTTATTGTAGCGTATCTCTGTAATGCTTATTGTAAATGTATTATCATATTTTACCCTCCAACCCCTTGTCCGCTCCATGTAACAACTGCATAAGTGGCCTCCACACTGCATGATCCTGAAATGTAGTACGAAGCTGTTGCACACTCCTCGAAAGGGAATGCAAACATCTAACCGCGGCTAAACGAACACGGGATCCACCAGGATCTTGAAGACCAGAGACAACTTGTTCCATAAGACTTTCTGTTTCAATAATACGCTTTCGGATATCTTCGTCATTCGCTCCGAGAGACGCAAATGCCCTGAATGCAGCTTGTCGCATATCTTGTGTTAGCGTTGCATCTTGGACCTCAACAAAAAGTATTACGTACAACTTTTATTTAAACACTTTTAATACAACCTAATAGAGTATTTTTTAAATCAATTTTACCATACTTTGTAGATATTCAATATATTTAATGTAACTTCTGCTTACTTGTGGATGTGGTCTTAGCAATTCCGCCAGTGTCGGTATCAAGTGATTACTAATGGAAGCTAAACGCTGTAGATCTGTATCAACTTCGGTCAAATACGCAAGTGTCTCGGCCGCGGCGACTCTTTCGCGTGGCGGTCGGTCTCGATGACATAAACGTACGAGGCAGGGTAACGTGCGATACACTACTCGCGGATCGGTGGACGGCAATGCCCCGGCTCTGTGCATATATGCGATACATCTCGCTGCTTCGAGCTGTATCAATGAACTCTTCTCACGTCCCATTAATTGACCTAATGCGATAGGTACTAATCTACCATGGACAGTATTACTAGTGCTGGCTGACGCTACCATAGCTGACACCATATGATTCTGGTAACACATATTTGCTAAGCAGGCTAGAGCTGGTAGTTGGACATCAGATAAGGGGGAATCCAGTTGCATCGCTAGTGTTTCTACTGCACCGCCTTTGGACAAAGCATTCTGTTCCTCTGTTGTCTAACAAACAATTTGCAGATTAGTTCTTTCTCATAGATATATTTTATATATTTTTATTAGAGTTTCAGATCTCTCTTTACCTTACATGCTGTAGTTAAAATTGTCGCGACACAAACTTGACAGGTGACCGATCGACTTGCTAGAGACAACAACCGTGGTACTAACGCGGGATCCTGATAAATCGAGTGGACCGGTGCTGCCGTATGTTGGAATACCGTGCGCAGACATCGCAAACAGGCTTCGTGTAACAGATCTAAAACCTTTATCTTGCTGTCTGCGACAATATCGGGAGTTGGGGAGGAGATCAAGACTTGTAGAAGCAGTGGAACTACACCTAAATCTATAAGCGCCAGTACATGCTGATCCGTGCCCTTGGCTAAGGAACCCAATGTTACAGCCGATTCTAATCTTATACGATCGCCAATGGTACCGGACGTATCGCCGAGCAATTGCAAGAGACGAGGCACCACACCTTGAGCTATAACTGAACCCTTTTGCCTGTTGCTCCCGATCACTGAATTCTTGAGACATCTGAGAAAAATCAGATCCATGAAACATTAATACAGTTTTTTATTAATCATAAAAAAGTAAACGTATAAAGCCATTTCTATCGATGTAGATTAATTATTATTTATTGGTTTATTGTACCGTTTATCTTTTTCTAATTCTTAGAAAAGGAAGAAGATAAAAAGTGACTTATAAACAGAGATTAAAATTTTAATTAATTTACATTGATAGAAATAAACGTGTAGAGAAAACGTCATTGGAAACTTTAAGTCTATTTTTTTATAACCAAACTAGTGTACACTCTTTGTACTTAAAATGAAACAGATATATGTTTGATAAAACGAAAAAGAAAGTTTTAGCGCAGTCAAATGTAATAAAAAATAAATCTTTTCAGTCATATGGAGTATTATCCTTAAGGTTAAGAATAATTTTTTTAATACTCACATAATCGCTTCTAGGCATTTCTGCGCGTCCGGAGAGTATAACTCATCGATGTAGCTCCTGGAACTCTCGATGTCCTGCAAGGTCGTGAGAAAACCATGATATAATTATTAGCGTTACTAGCAACGGTGGGATTCGTCAGCTCTATCGATGCGTCAAACGGCCCTTTACCGGAGGTCGCGTATGAATCTAATCGGACATCGAACTCACCATGTACGGCTGCATCACCGACACCATCTTCGCTCGTCTGCGTTCTCACATAAATATCCTGTAAATCGTTCCGCTCGATCGGGCTTCCTGGCACAACGATTACCACGAGGAACCGTCAGATCCAGTTTGCGCACTATATACGTTCTATATGAAACGTACGCGATTCGGTTGTACGTTGCGTTCTCGTGTTCTAAAATAAGCTCGACTTGTTGCCAATGATGCCAACATTGTGGAGCGTTTTTCTTCTAGGAAAAAGTCTTCCTACCTCCTATAATTACTTCTAATTCGATTCTCTTCAACTCTTCTTTCCTCTTATAATAAAATGAGGATAAATCGATTATCAGAATAATAATTTATAATTAAATATATAATTTGCAGATTAATGTACAATTAACTTGAGAATTAAATTTTTTTAATCTACACATAAAGCAAATATTCTTATCAAATATATGTAGAGTATAATAGGCACTTTCAAACAAAACACTTCTTAATTCTGATGAGTTTTAGAACGCATTGGCATTTTAAAAGTTCGAATACTATACATATTCCTATAGATTTGTGCAATTACGTCACGTTAAATAAATTTTGTATATGTATGTGTAAAATATATATGCATATACTATATCATATATTATATTTGATCGATATTTTTATTTAAGCGTCAATTTTTTAATTTGCATTCAATTGCGATCGATATAATTATATTATGTATTATTTAATTTAAATCAAAATTCTAATCATGAGAATTCCGGTATGAGTCTATTACACTCATTAGAATATTTTCTTTTAATCATTTTGAAATTTTCAAGAATCTCACATATATTTCAGCTAATACCTTCTGCAAAATTGCCGTATCACATCAGAGACATGCAAGATGACATGCAATAAATTTCTGCAATAAAGACCTCAATCATGTAGATAATTATTTTGTGTATCCGGTTAAAAATGATTTGATTTAGTATACTTAATTTAAAACATTAAAAAACAAAAAAGATATGAATGAAGATTTAAAAAAAATAATAAAGTATTAAAATAATATAATTTATTACATAAAAACAGAAATCTTTAATTTTTTATTTTCCTGCTTTATCTTTTTCAATCATAAATAAAAGTCATAATTTATTATATTTTAATGTGGTAAAATTTCTAATCAAGAGACACTATATCTCGAATGTTAAGTCAATCGTTCTATTTATTAACTATATATAATATATAATATATATTTTTATATTTTTTTTTTAATTTTTTGTATGGTTTATTTTGTAATCTGATTTCGCATATAGTATTTTATAAACAACACTTTTCGATATTTAAGCTTCCCAGAGCTCAATGCTGAAATCAACTTGGCAATCAAAGTGTTAAAATATTCTTTTACCATATAATACATTGAATTTCTTTAGGCACAATGTATATAATCGAACTATATATATATATATATATATAAATTGAGGTAGATTCCAATTGATTTGCGTTTTTGCAATGTTGATTTTGTCGATGTGTTTCGAACTTATATTTAAATAAAAAGATTTCAATCTTCCTGTCTCATGTATTACTAAATAGTTGAATTTAACAGATGCAAATGCATGTATTTTGCACACATGGCACGTGTATACAATTGTCGTACTGATGAAACAGTCGGGACTAATCGGAAGTAATCGGGACGTTCGATTCAGATTTGACGCTCACGCCTTTCGAAGCTTGAGTGCTAACAAGTGCCAATTTCCTGTCCCATAAATCTTTTCCAAAACAATTGTATATAATTCCGGAAACGGATAGATGAATATGTATTAAAACGTTCATCTGATGAATTTAGGCCCGTGCAAAGGGCGTTCGCGAAAGAGCTGGAAAGAGCTGACGAAGCTCCATGTACAAACGTGTCGCATCATTAGCAATGACGTGGATATAGGTTAAGTTCTCATTCACGCTCAAACAAATCAAATCGCCAAGTATATCGAGCAATTTCTGACAAAGACAATTGTAAATAATGTTCGAAATCACAGACACGCAAAGTGAGTACAAGGATTCCTCTTGTCAATATTGAAAGAGATTCTTTGTATTAAACCGGCGAATATTCGAGATATTGATTGCATTTTGTTGATTGTACTATAAGGGATGTGTTCCAGAAATTGGAGTGGGACTGGCGGGATTTGGGATTTCTTTTCTGTTCCTCGGCGTACTGTTACTCTTCGATAAAGGTTTACTCGCTATTGGAAATGTAAGATCACTGCATGTTTTTTCTTTATTATTTATTTATGTTAAGTCTTACCGGATTGACCTTTTGGATTATTCCTTGTAGCTTCTGTTTATATCGGGACTGGCATGTGTCATTGGACCGTGGAGGACGTTAAACTTCTTCTTTCAAAGGCATAAGATAAAAGCCAGTGCCTCGTTTCTAGGAGGTGTTTTCGTAGTACTTATGGGTTGGCCCCTTGTAGGAATGATTTTAGAAACCTATGGCTTTGTATTACTCTTCAGGTAAGTATTGTATACTTAAATACTTCTACAACTACAGCACAGTGGAACTGCAATATAACACACTAATACCTGTTTTTCATCAACGTAGTTTAATTTTAATCTCAGTATAATTCACCTTTTTCTAGTTCTAAGAATTAGAAAAAGATAAAGAATAAGTTGAATCGAAATTAAAGTTAATCTATATAGAAACATATAAAGGAAATATTAGCCTGTTCTTTTTAGTTGAACTTTTTACATAATTCAACTTTTCTTTTTTTCTTGACAACATGAAGGAAAAATTAATGATTATGCAAAATAAACTTCAGCTGAAAAGAACAGACCTATTCAACTGTGAGAAAACATAGCGAGTGCACTGGCTGTGTTTAGCAGACCACAACAGTTTTATATCTGTTTTGTAATTGTTAGTGATAAAAATATAATCCAAGCGCGAAGAAAACTTCACAACAGTTGCAAAATAAATATTCTGCTGAATGCAGTCATCGTTTCTACATATGAAAAAAATTTATTATAAAATCTCGAATAACTGATGTCCATTAATAAATCCATGTTTTGTGACAGATAATTCATCACATATATTTGTTTCAGTGGTTTTCTACCAGTAGCAATAAATTTTCTACGAAGAGTACCTATATTGGGAACTCTATTAAATATGCCTGGTATCAGTCGAGTTTTGGACATAATAGCAGGTGATTCTAATCGGACAACTGTATGATACAACTATATATTATATTAAAACCATCTATATCTTTTTGCTTGGAACCTGTACATAAACCAGTCAAATGTTCATGTTTCATATTTTTTTTGTTATTTCCGTTTAAGAACGTCAGCTGTCAAGTTTTGTACAAAAATGTAAGAACTTACTTATTTCTTATATAAGTCGTTATAAGAAGCGCCATTAATATAATGAATTTGTATCTTTCGAATTTATATACATATAACTTATATGTATTGATTATGTCAAGGGTACACTTGGTTACATAAAACATTCCAAGTTTTTTTTGTAAAAAAAAAGGTAATATTCATTTCCTTCATCTTAAAATATCCATCATTGTAAACAAATCCATCAGTAAACAAATAATAATAACAACAAATGTACCCTTCTCCTGATCAAGTAATGAATGTTTCGGGATAATGTAATAAATGGACGTGTTTAATGTGTTATTTATCATTAATATATCTTATACTTATTGAAATCAAGATAAAAAATATATCGAATTTGCATAAGACTTTTAAAAATTTTCGAACAAAAATATTTCAGTGTAACTTTAAATATTAATTTAAAAATGTATCAGATTAATGTTGAATACTAAGTACTTAAGTCTTCTTAACGGAATGATATTAAATATGAAAAAAACATACAATATGTATAATTTTAAATTGTTAAATCTTTGTCAATTTTTATTAATTTTATAATTAAATTTTTGAAATAATTTAATGAAATTTATTACATTAAAATCAACTTCGAAAAAATGTTTTTTATTTATTTCAAGGAAGAAAAATAATTACTGAATGTATGAAATTTTATATCATTTTTATTGATTTGCTGCTTTCCCTGCATGCATCCTAACATGAACAGATTAGATGCATACATTCTGAGTAACGCTTTTCTTCTTACATGGTCGTCTGGAGTGCGAAATTAAATTATCGTCCGTCAAAAATTAACGGACTGGCTGATTACCATTAAAATGATAGCTTTCATTAATTTAATTACGAATTAATTATGAATTATCTACAACGGGCCGAGAATAAGGGCGGGGGGCGGCCCAGGCTACGCGCCCCGCCATCGCCGTGATGACATTTCGTCGCGCGTCCTCCTCTCTCGATGGTTTCGCGTGCGCTGATACTCTAGGCAATTTATTACTTTCAAGTACTTTGATATTCCAGTCTACTCAGCGTAGCGTGTATGGAACGTTATCCAAGTAACAGGTGTTCGCGATATTTTCGCGATTGTGCTTGTCTTTTCAACGTTTTTACAATGGAATACGAAAATACGTAATGTCAATCGTTGCGGGAAAAATACTGAATCCGGCAATAAATTAAGCAAATTCTCTTCTATTCCTTTGTTTATTTTTGCCGAGTTTCATGCACTTTACGAATTGCTACGTCGACCGTCCTCAGCCTGAATTACTTATTAATATCGCCGACAGCGTTTCTTCTGTCTGTCGGTCTGCGGGAATCGCTATCAAATCGGATGATGTGGATAATTAATGACGATGTCAATGATCGTGAGAGTAATGAGACGAGGATCGTATTAACGCTTTAAAGAAGGTTTTTAATTTCATCGTACAATACGAGTACGAGCGCACCACCTGTGCCACGGAGAACATTAGAGAACGCGCCCTTGAAGAAGGCATTACCACCTTCCGTCTTGTAAATGGTGGCCCAGCAATGGAGAGTGTTTTTGTACAAAATGTCAGTCTTGGCACGGCCGGACTGCATCATCATACGCCTACGTACTGTATCGAAGGGATAAGACACAATACCCGCGACAGTGGTTACGGCCTGCAACAGATTCAGAATGAATAAATAAAATGCAGATTGCATCAATTTAGTAGAAATCAATTTAGTAGTAAAATCATCTTACCTGGGCAATACCCCATGAAACGAGGAATGGTGTCTTTTTGGGGTCTGGCAGCATACCACGGGCAGTGTCATAGAAACCGAAGTAAGATGCACGATAAATGATGATACCCTGCACCGATACACCGAATCCACGGTAAAGACCAACGATGCCGTCAGCTTTAAAGATCTTCGTCAAACAATTGCCTAATCCTGTGAACTCACGCTCACCGCCAGCTTTGCCTACATCGGCAGCCAACCTAATGGAACAAAGAAAAAACACAATGTAGCATAATTTTAAAATTTTTGATATTATTTGGATATTTGTAGAATTATTTATTTGTACGAAATGTACAAATATAAAGGGACACGATGGTGAATACAAAATTAACGTGATATTAATACTTTTATAAGTATCAATATCAAATTATAAGTATCAATATAGTATACTTTTATAAATTAAATATAGCTACATGTTTTACTTCTCATTGCGATAAAATTTAAATCGGAAGTTTATAAGAGTAAAAGTAATTGTATTAAATTAAATTTAATTACAATTATTAATTGCTCGTTAATTGCACGATAAATTCTATTATTAGTATAAGAATAAAAATTTTTATTTGTAGCGTGTAATTAAAACAACTTCTATTATTATATAAATTCAATATTCTATTATTAACGTAAAAATAAAACGCTCTAATTGTAAGTAATTTACCTGGTTCTGGCAAAGTCAAGTGGGTAGACAAAGCACAGAGAAGTGGCTCCAGCAGCACCACCAGACGCGAGATTTCCAAGGAAATAACGGAAAAATTGAGTGTTTTTATCAACGCCACCAAGGAAAACCTGCTTGTACTTATCCTTGAAGGCAAAGTTCAAGGCTTGCGTTGGGAAATATCTGATAACATTGGCGAAATTACCACGCCAGTAACTGAGGAATCCTTGTTCACGTGGGATACGAACGAAACAATCGATCATACCTGGAAAGTAATATATAATATAAATATGTAAATCGTGCGAAAATACGTATACAACGTTCTTGTAATACTTTATCATTTTAATAATTTTGATAACTTATTTTATATATAACTTATTTTATATATTAGGTGTAGTAAAAATAATGGATTTCTTTTTACTACACCTAATATGACTTATTTTATATAACTTATTTTAATAAATTGCATTATTTTCTACTTTAAATATTTAAAATGCTATACAATTCACAAATTCAACTATGTTTTATATGTTCTAAAATTATAGAATAGTTAATAGGCTACCATTTTTTTACTGTCACATAATTCGTAAATTATTTCGTAAGTTATCCTTAAGAAAAATTTAATTAAATATAAACTTTCGTGAGTCTGAGATTTTTAATTATATATGTTAATTATATATACAAAATAAAATATGCATAATTATTTATAATAGGCATAACAAATAAATTAGAAAGAAATACGTAATGTTTAACTACGAAACTATATAATTTTATATATTTTATATGTTACATATAATGGACATAAAAAAATCTTATACTTTTAAAGATTGTTCCCAATAAACTTTTCACTAATATAAATTTTAACTTTTCTATTAGCAATAGGAGAAACGAAACAAATTTTTTATTGCTCCGGATAAAAATCTGAAAAAATTCTGATACTTATTAAAACGAACTTTAACGGATTTTTTATCATCATAGATATCAGATTGTATTTTACTTTATTTTTTACAAATTTAAATTTGTTTGCCAAAATTCATAAAGTATTATTGCCATTCAAAACTCAACAATTGCCGGCAAAAGATTAAATTAAATAGAAGACAATAAAAGACAATAAAAGATTAAGAATAAAAGGTCTATTTCCTTGTACTAGATCATATTAGAATTTTCTTATTTTCGCAAAATATCAAACATATATTTATTTCATTTTAAATTTGAAAAATGTACACTAAACAGACTTATGCCTGGTTTATGCTTCGGCCTTAACCCTAAAATTCAGCCAATGAAATACAGATTTCAGTTAGGATTAATTAGGACTGGCAGCCCTATTGGCTGAATTTTAAAATTTTAAGGTTAAAATCAAAATATAGACCAAGAATGAAAAAAGACGACGATAGATGTCTAGAACGTTTTCGAACAATCGAGTAGCATTTTGAATATTTGATGTAGAAAATTGTCTCACTAATTATACATTATCATCTAAGTGTATCGACTTCTCTTGTAACTTTATTCCTTAATTTTATCTTTGTAATTTGACACGGTAACAATTGAGATTGCGAAGAAACGATAAGCTGCAAGCCATCTCCCGTTATCATTATGTTGTCAGCAATGTGACTCGATGAGATCGACCATTCCCGACTATAAAATACATTTATTAAATTCCTGACCAGTAACATTCTTCAGAGCATCAAACGAATGGGAATTCAACGTGTCGTCAGCGTGGATGAATCAGAGAGGAGGCTGTGAATGGAGGCGGGGGAATTCATGACGCGTGGAAGTAGAAGGCAGAAGAATTCGGTCTCGTGGTCGAACAAAAGGGCGGCCATGTTGGACCGCATCGTCATCGATCGGGGTCTCGGTGGAGAAGAGAGGAAACCGACGCGCTGCCATCTGGCTTTGGGAACGATTGGCCGTTCCAAACGAAATATCGATCCCATCGCGAAGGGCATCGGTAGATGAAGCGAACTTTCCGCTGCGTGCGAGATCGAACCGCTGCGCAGCCGGAGTTATGTAAGTCCGGCCGAAACTGCGGACCGACCTTCGTTACATAAAAGTAATGCGAAATTTCGTCGATCCGTCGCGTGTGTGTGCGCGCGCGCGCGCGCGCACACGTTCGAGTTTTCGCGTCGCTCGCGTGGCTGCGTTCCACACGCGGTGCGCGGCACCAACGACATGCATTACATAACGGCCATGTCTTTTCTTTCTCTTATCTCTTCGCTCGCGGCATGCATTGGGGCCGCTCGCCGCCGCGTTCGCGCACCGTGAGGAACAATAGGCACGTTCGAGACTACTTGGCCACTGTCACATGTTCCGTGTGTGCACGCGCAGGTTTCTACTGCATGAACGCCGTCCTTGCCGTGACACTGGAAAAGCGCGTGAAGCGGCCGGCACTTCCCCAAACGATTTCCCACGAAAATCCAGAAAGAGCGAGACAAGTAGAGATATAAAGGAAGAGAATATATATACATATATATATAATATATTGGAACTTCCGCACTTACCCTTATACCGCTTATCCTCGGCGATTTGCTTGGAGATGTGCTGAACCTGCAGCAATAACTTTACGCGCTCAATGGGCGCGACAGTGGTCTTAGAGATAGCCGCAGCTACACCGCCGGCTATGAAATCCTTGGCGAAAGCCACGGGATCCGCGAGTCCAGACATCGTGATGAGTTGGTTGAGTGCGCGTATGTATGGGTGTTGGGTGAGACACGGGTAACGTAAAGGAGAGAGAGAGAGAGGAGAGACCGCAAATGTCTCTAACGCGCGCCGGACGACGAATGGCCGAGGCAGCGTACGCTCGTTGCCTCCTGCGGCTAAGAATAGCCGCGCAGGTCACGTGTGTAGTTTCGCGCAGCTACAGACGAAGCGACGTCGTCGCGCCACGTCGCCGCCGCCGCCGTC